GAGCAGGTAAAGCACTGTAAGACTTTTAAGACAATTAAATCAAAGTTCGCTTGCTTTAATTTTATAACCAAGATATTCTGAACTGTTTTTAAGAAAGAAGAATTTTGAAATATTAAGGGAAATCCTGCTCTTGTAAGAACTTCAAGGTCTAATTAAAAAATTTCCAATGCCTCCTGTATTGTACGAAAAACTATTATAATATTGATCATATAAACAATATCAAAAGAATACTTTCATGACGGCTAGTTGGCAAACAGATGGTTTATACCTTAAACCGAATAGAGAGATACACGTATTTTCCATCTGGGGTACGCAGTACTTTTAATAGTCTGAGTGAACAGGGATCTAAAAGAATCCCCTTACCATATTTCAGAGAGAAAAAATATTGGGCGCCACCAAGTTTAGCAGTTTAATCGGCAATAAGTGACAGTCAGGTACTGTATTATTGTTTAATTCGCGATAATCTATCCAAAAACGATCTTTCTTTTTAACTAATAAGATTTGGTCAGCAAAAGGAACTACTGGGCCGAATAAAACGTGCCTTTAACCATTCGTCCATTTTATTCTTTACTATTTGTCGCTTATCAGGACTTAAACTATATGACCGTTTTTAAACACTAATATTAGGATTAATGAGACGTATTTTAATCTCACCGGTGGCGACCTGGGCAGATGAAGTGCCTTTTATAAAAGACGCAGAAAATTCTTGCAAGAAGCAATAATTTTGATTTTTTATCGCCAATGATATCGGTACACTGAAAAAACAAATCTGTTTTATCAACCAATAAATTTTTTGTTGCAATTGTTCTTGTTGGTCCTAATAAAAAAATTGTTAACCCAAGTAAAGTGTTTAATACATTAGTATTTGCAACAAAAATGAATTTGTTGAAAAGAATTAGTTTACCCTACTGACAATATGCGTCGCCGCTAATAGGTATCCTTAAGTAAACATAACAAATATATTTTTGTTGTCAATTTTCGCCCAAAATTGGCATGACGTGACATTGAAATTTATTTTATAAAGTTGACCGACTTGGTGCCATGGTTAAAGTTAAGTCTTGGTGTCATAGTGATTGAATAATAAAAAAATAATTTGTCACTGTCAAAAAATTTTTGTGCAAATTCTAGAGGAAGCAGGTTCGCGTTAATTAATTTTTGTGCATTGGGTGTTATGGATGAATGAGTAAACCAAATATTAACCGAGTGGGGATTTTCTTCATTAGAAAATACTTTTAAAGGTACCAAAATAATTTTTGTAAAAAAAATCAAACAATATTAACCTATACCTACACAATATTGTTAATGTAACTCTTTTTATTAATTAGTATTACATACTGAAAGAGTTGCTTTAACAATATTGTGTAGGCATAGGTTAATATTGTTTAAGTTCTTTTAACAAAAATTATTTTTGGTGATTAAAAGAACTACCAAATGTTATAACAACAAAGCAACAATGTTGTAGTTACTCATTACCATAGCTTTTCCAACAAATTATTTTGTATGAGATACCAATAATATTAGTTACTTTAAACAAGACGCCATAGTTTTGTCAACAAAAAATATTAGTTACAGTAACATATTTTGTCTCAACAAAAAAAAATTGTTGTTGTAACAAAGATTTTAGTTGAGGCTATAGCTACAAATAAAATTTGTTGGTGCAACTTTTTTTTAGTTGCTAAAACAAATTATATTATAAATATCTACAATATTAGAATTTATTGGATCGTCGAGTTTAGTACAGATCTAAACCATATTATTCCAATTCATTTTAAAACTATTGGGCGTCAGGTTAACATCAAAACCCCCCGCCCACCCAACCAATCCCTTTTCTATGATCAAAACCTTGACAAAGAATTTCACGGACAATAATATATCATATGACATTATAATGTCACTTTGCAATTAATCATGAAACAGAATTTTTAAGGTATAATTGTTAATGACTACTTTAAACAGTATTTGTAGAGTGCTGCGAATGGTCGTGTTCCAAATCCTTCTCAAAACAATTAAATTATCAACCTGAGAACTTGGAGGCTACAGTTTCTTTAATAAGCGAATATCGGTAATCAAGTCAAAACAGAATAAGATTTCTTTAAAAAAATTAAGACAGATCCCAGCAAACCAAATCATGTCACAGTGATATAACATTTACATAAAAATTGTTCCTTACTATGCAACAGCTATGTCACCTATATGTAATGGCAATGCTCCTATGTCCGCCTCAAGACCCCTTCCTGGGTATGTAACTGTGATGTAACAGTATTTTATCATAGTTATGTAACCGTAATGTTACAGCGCCATATCATAGTTATGTAAACGTGATAAAACAATTATATTCTATTTACATAAATGTTGCATTCTATTTACTTAATATTTATGCAATATTTACTTATTATCTATATATAATTTATGCAATATTTACATATTGTTTTTGAAATTATATTTCATGTAATATATTATCTTACTGGTATTAAAAATTGCTTAGCCCCCTAACTTGGTATTATGGCAAATTTTTTGAAAAAAAAATCAACAAAATTTTAAAATTGCCATAATACCAAATTAGAACTAAGAAATTGTTAATGCCAGTTAGATAATATATTAAATAAATTATAAATAAATATTACATAAATAATAAGTAAATATTGCAGAAATAAATGATTCTGAAAGAGATTAAAAAAAAACACAAATTGGTTAAAAATGTTTATTAAAATATATTTTAATTTAAAAAAACAAATCATTTCTTCTTTCCAAAGGGGCCAAATAAATCTAAAAACAAACATTGTAAAATATGAAAAAATCACTTTAATTTCAATTTTTCCAAACTTTAACAAAAAAAACTCAAATACATTAATACTTCAAAGCTAAAAAATATATGGTAAAAAAAGAGAAAAAATCTCAGGAATTTAATATTAATATACCTTCTTTTCATGGGTTTTTTGTTTCCCTCACAAATCTTTGTTTGGGCTGCCGGAACCATTCGGTAACTATGATTTCAAAATTTTTGTCTGTTGAAGCTTAAAAAAATATTTAATAAAAAAAGCCATAAAACTTACATTTTCACCCTTCAATATTTCAACAAATTTTAAATTTAGTATTTTTATGTTGTTTTTTAGGCCTAGCCAAGAGCAATCTTTTGCCAGATTATTACAGAAGGTTTTTTTTTAACTCTTACTGTAGAATTTTTTTCGGAGACGCCTTCATTTTATATACTGAAATTTAAAAAAAATACTATTTAATATTATTTTTGTTTATTGATTTGTTTTCAAAACAAAGAACAACTATTCTTTATGTAGTTTTGTGAATGATTTTTGGTACAAATAATAATTTGTTTGATTTTATTAATTCACAACAATTATAATAAAAAAGTGCATCCATCTTATTTAGCAAAATTATTGTATCCTTTACCAGTTGAAAAAACAGTATAAAGTTAAAAATTTATAGATATTAAACTCTTATTTTGGCTACCAAATATCATTAAATTATAATTTGTTGCTTGTTTTTTTAGCACCCTGTTTTAAAAACAAATTACCATTATCAAACAGGTTTAAAATCGCCCTTTATATACTTACAAATTCAGCCTTTACTTCTTTTTGCAATAATGTTTTCTCAAAACAGATCATTACACAAATTTTGCAAATCTTCCACAAAAGTATGGGAATTTTCCCTACGACCTCCTGAATATTCTCCCAAATTTTCTGTAAAAATATTTTTATTCAGCTGTTTATGGCTGGTTAGGGGAAGATAATACTTCGGTTTTAGCCTCATGAGGCAGTATATTCTGGCAAAGGTACACTTTCCACATTGTCTTGGGTATTTTGTATACAATTTCTTACCTCCACGCCCATTATTTTAAGATCTGCATTAATTCTCCTCCGCTTTTGCCTCCGGGATAGGAAAATATATTTTGTTTCTATTTTTTTGTTCCATTTTATTATAAAACAATGGAATCAAATTTAACATAACTTAAAACACAATAGAGAGCACTCGACACAACCGTTTAAACAAGTTGGTTAGTAAGATAAAAAGGCTATATAAATACTATAAAGCATTAATATATAACATTTATATATCATTGTTACAATGTAGGTATAAAACATTGTTATAGCCATGACATAGTAGGGATGTAAATATAACAAGAACGGATCATTTTTATATAACTATTATATTAAAATGTTTTATTACAATTATGTAACAAAATAAAGAAAAACTATGTAAATACCATATAATAAGGTTATATGGATACTATAAAACATTGTCATATATCAATTATGTATCATTGTTCCATTGTAGATATATAACATTGTTATATGGCTGATACATAAGGGGGATGTAAATATAACAAGAGGGGAACATATTTATATAAATGTTATATTACTATGTTTTATCATAATTATGTAACAAAATAAAGAACTAATATGCAAATGTTATGTAAACAATTTTATATGGCAATGTTCTTTGTTAGTTATATCATGGCTATGTAAATGGAACAGCCTGGTTTGCTGGGGTTGTTTTCGCATTAAGTTTTTAAAACAGCTAAGCTATATATTTTCTAAAACTATTTATAAATCATCTATAAACGGTTATTTTGGAAGCAAAATATAAACGTATCTACAGCGACCTAATGTTAACATGGTTGACAGTTTTTGCACAAAAAATAAACATTTAATCATCTCAACTTTTTATTGGGGCTAAAGTTCTTTAGGCTAATTTTTAACCTTAACTCCTTATTAACAAGTTGTAACTTTTTATTTTTTGAAACGTGTTTAGAAATTTGTCCTTTTACATAAATAAATTAAAAACTCAATAAAAAGTTTAATTTTATTTTTAAGAAAAATGTTTTAACCCAACATAGCATTTTATCAATATTTGTTTTACAAGAATTAATTAAACGACCAATAAATATTTTTCAAATAAACTGTACTGTTTTAAACAGTCTGTTTATTTCCTAACCAAATAAAACAACCATTTTTCATTGCCAATAAACCTTATTTTTATTACAGGACTGTCGATTACTTCTCATCCCCTGGATTTTAAATATGTTCATTTTTATTTTGACCGACATAAGCTACATCGTATACAACTTTTGCAAACATGCGGTAAACTAAAAAATAGAGTTTTATGGACATACAATTAATTTATTTTATACCTTTTTTAGATGTTCAACCCAATTACCGGAATATTGATCACAGTGGATTTATTTATAAACGCACTTAATGTAAGTATGCTGTCATTATAAATTGAATAAATTGTAATTTTGGCTTTTAAAACTTTTTTAATTTCCTTTCTATTGAAGGAATTATTTTTTAAAGTTTTAAATCTATTGAAATTAAGTTTTTAAACTAAGTTTTGTAATATTATTTTTAGACTTACGCCTTGTTATGTGTGATATCTCAATATCAAGAACTTAAGGCTGGACGGGGTCGAGCTTCAAATGACTTAAATAATAGGGTGAGTAATATTACCTAGGGGTAAGGAAAAATATGGGATACTTACAATTTCTTTTATAAGATAGGATTTACAGGGTGCGGCGATCAATACTGATGTTTTTTTAATAGGATAAGTCAATGAATTTTAAAGACAATTTTTTTTATTTAAAGAGGAAGAGTGAATGCCGAAAGGTAAATGATGATCTTCATTCTCGGCTCACTGCTCTAGTTGGTTGGCGACATTCGTTATCACTCTTTCCAAGGTTTAGGGTGGGATTGCATGGATTTATCGCCGAATATTTTTTCGAAGTTCTGTTAAATTTTAAGGCACAATACTCCATGACTTTTGTCTTCCTGAGTTACGTCGCCGCCGAATTCCTCGAAAGCCCGGTCTACAATTGTCGCAGAATGTATTTTTTACGGCTTACGTCTTACTTCAATTAATCACAGTAATCCGTAAAAGATACATTCTGCGATAATAGTAGACCAGGCTTAAGCAGGTTTTGGTTTTAGCAGGATGGGGCAACAGCACACATGTTACGTGTGTCTATAGACCTGCTAAGAAAATTTCCCGAGAAGTTGATTTCACTTAAAGGTAACATTAATAATAACATGTTTTTGATTAATATACTATGTATCTGTAAATATATGTATTAGGGTGTTTCAAAAAAAAAATAATAATTTTTTTTTCTAATGGCGTGAAAATGTCTATAACTCCTCTAGCTTGGGTGTTGTGAAAACAAACCATTCCAAAATTATAAGAATTCAAAATTTAAAAAATAAAAATTCCCCTGTTATTGAAATGGAAAAATAACAAAATGAATTGAATATTAAATATTAAGGGCTCAAATATTCGCCAAAATTTTTGTTTTTTAATGTAGGTACTATTAATTTTTCAACACCATTGGAAAAAAAAATAATTTAAGTTTTTTTTGAAACACCCTAATATGTTTAATATACATTGTATATATATTTTTCTTTGTAATCATACTTGCTATTTAACTTTTCTTTTTTTTAAGTTGTTATATCTTTATCTTAACTTTTCTTATATTTACATTTCCTGCAATTGGGTGTATTCCTGTTGGAAATAAAGTTTATTATTTATTTATTTATTTATTACATGTATTCATTCCATGGTCGGCAGGTTCTCCGATCTCCATATGTGACTTTTATCTGGGATTATCTCGACGAAAAAGTTTACCTTGATAAGCCTCAAAGATTAGCAGAACTTTGAGAAATATTCGGCGAGAAATCCATGGGTTGGCAAGAGTGATGAAAAATTTTTCCAAATGGAGGTCATCATTTAACTGACGTCATTTTTGCCTCATAAAAACTTTTCTAAAAATGTTTGGATACATTTTAAACTTCCACTCTTTATTTTTAAAATGAAAAAATAAAAAATCAGAATTGACTCTGTACATAGCAGAACAATTTGTATGGTAGAATAAATATTTATTTAACTAACTGTGTTCTGTCAATAGCTAAATAAAAATAAACGATTATATTATTATAACTAAAATATATATATAACGTTGTCTCTTAGATATAGAAGATTAAAAATATAAATAGATAATATCCCATAATTTACCCAAAGAATTAGGACCTGGATGTGGAGCTATCAAAAATTGTGAAAATTGAACTAAAGAAACTTTACTACTTACCTTATTAAGTATATAAAGTATACAGTGTCGAAAATTCATTAATTTCCTTTAACAGTGAGCTAATATCAAACAAAGCAAACTCCAATATTTATAATTAGCAACTACCGTCACATTTATTAAATTTTTGTAAAATACGTGTCCAGTGTAATAAGATTATTTTTCAAGATTAGATGTACTTGATGATGAAAGTAGTATAAATCTTGAGAAACCGGTTGTATGAAATTATATAAGTTTGTCTTGAGAGACTACACTTTTATTTTTTTTTTGGATTTTACTTACTTTTATTATGGATTTTATACATAGAATCCAGTGGAAGTGATTGAGTAGTTTTTGACAAAAGCCTCGGCTTCGGCCAAAAATTTCACCTTCGGCCAAACATTCATAACTGCTAGGACAATAAGTGACCTAGGGCCAGGTCGCATTTGATTAATTTTTCTTCGAGTATAGAGGGGGGTAGACGCCCCCCTGTTCACCCTTGACGACGCCCATGATGTAATGCCTAATTAAATTTAAGCAAGTTTCATATGCGAACTAAATTAGGAAAAAAAAGAGCAATTATCCATATCACTAGAAAAACAAAAATTATCCTAGACTAAAAAATGACAAATAACAAATGTTTCAAATGTTAAAATTGTTTTTATGGGAGTATCTAATACTATAGTCCAGGATACCATCTGTTTTAAATATAAATGGCCTCATTTTTTCTTCAATGGATATACTTTAGAAATCAAATAAATTAAATTGCCGTACAAATTAAATTGATATGAAAACATACATTTTGTAATATTGAGTAAATTTAATAATCAGATTATGTAAATATTAGGAATAAAGGTCTTACTGATAAAATTGTGAAAAACTCGTTGTTTGGTGAGTTTAAAATATTGTTTTAATACTTAATCATTGCTACTGAGGTGGAGATAATAAACATACATTTTTTTTAAAGATTTTAATTATGTACACATTTTTTCCTGGAAATTGTTTCATAACTTTTAATTTCAATAATAAAAAATAATATTTTTACTAAAGTGATAAAAATGATACTTTTTTTACCTAAAGGATTTAAAAGCTTCATAGTGAAAATCGTAAAAACTAAAAACTTAAAATGTATCCCCTCGTTTCATTTTGTATTGTGGTAACAATAGTTTTTTTGCAAAAATTGTATGCATCTTAATGATCTTGATCTTGATGATGACAGTTTTATACATGTTTAAAAAAATCGTACCTATATAAACGTGTTTGCAAACATCGACTTCAGGGTTTTTTAAGAATTCTCATTGCTATTATTTTGTATACCTACTTATAAGCACATTGGAAATAAAAATTCTTGTACGTAAAAGTATTGTTGGCCAAATCAAAAAATGTATATAATTTTTATTTGCATCAATATTTTATATAACTTAGTTAATTGTTATGGAGTACGCTTTAAAAATGTTAATCTTAACAATCTTTAGTTTTTGCAGATACCAAACATCCAATACAGCTCGCAACCCACAGCAACTAGCTACTTGAGCTCAAGAAAAACAGTAACGTGTCACGATACCAGACCAACACCCACCCAAAGTCCTTCAGGAAACGCACCCAGTTTAGCCATCGAAGAACCATCTCCAGGTCCGATACACAGGGGACCAAGAAAATCCGTCAAGTTTCCAGATCATTCGGTGCTATCGCAAAACGGATCCGGCTCCCAACTTCTGGATCCCTGGAATCTTGACGTCAAATCTCCCATACTCATGGCCAAAGGGACCGATACGGCTCCCCTTATCGAGACAGCTTCCGATCCACCGCTGCACACAGCAGTGTAAATAGTTTTTTAGAAAATTGTTTTGTGATGTGTCCATTTTTAATAAATTTTATTTTTAAATTTAGTGCCTTAATAACTTCAATTTAGACCAAACTTATTTTAAAATAACAACCACAGTGTACTTTTGTCCAGTGCAGATCATGATTTAAACTAAGCAATGTCAATAATAAACCGCCCCGGAATTTAATTTTTTATATAAGTAGAAAATATACTTTAATTAAGAACAATTGATTTTAGAAAAACATATTTTATGGCTAATATACAGGTAAAATGACAACACCATAAAAAACTTTGGCCCAAATTTCGGAAGTATAATTAAATATGAATGCTGAAATAAAGGGTCCACTAATTCATATTTAAAATGTATGTAACAAGTGACTTTTTTAATTTTAACATTTTTTTCTTGGCCCTGCTTATCAAAATGTATATTTTTATATACAAAGAATTGTGCACATTTAGCCCACTTTAAAAATGTGTTATTAAGGGTAATATTTTAATTAATTTTATAATTCAAATAAACTTAACTATAAGATTTAGATTATATAACGAATTAAAAATGGTAAAATTTTGGCGTAAAACGTTATTTTTCTTGCTTAGTTTATTTTAACAAAAATATAATAATAGAGTTAATGAAATTGTGGTTGGAAAAAAATGGTGCTTTAAAGAATAATTTAAATAAATTAACAAATATTTTCCATTAAATTTTGGATGCATTTCATAACAAAATTATTGTACATACTAAACAAATTTTATAGAACACAGTGTTATATTTTACAGTTAAAAATATTGAATATTCTTCTCAGGGTAAAAACCTTCAACATCTCAATAGATTTACGATCGTATACTGAGTATTAGTTTATTCAAACTGCCATGGAAAACATATAGTAGCAATTAATTAATGAAAAACACATTTAACTTGTAAAATATACACACTAGTATTATATAAATAAGAGAACCTTATATGATATTTTGTACCATAATTAAATTCTTCATATTTGTACTAAATGTATTTTATACAAAACTAATCGTAATACCCAACTAATTGAATCGGTGAGAATAAGAGAACAAGTCCAAAAATTTAATTTTGACATGTCATTTTCTAAAATTAATTTTAAAATTCAAAATACATTTTTGTGAGAAGATAGAAATCACTTTACAGAAAATGAATATTATATTTTATAAAATAGTTCAACTATTCTCACAAAATGCATTTAGAACTATAAAACTGATTTTTTGAAATATTTTGTAAAAATTGTGACTTTTGGACTTGTCCTGTTCTTAATCTCACCGATTTAATTATAATATTACAATTTATAATCTAAACAGTATTTTATGTCAATTATTATATAAGATTTTGCAGATAATGATTACGCTATAAAATAATGGTTTGTAAAACACATCATAGTTGAATGTGAGTAATAGAAATAGATTTATTTTAAATATAAATTATTAATTTAATTAATTCATTCATTGTTAGAAGATATGTGAAAAATTACAAACTGTTATATAAACCATTATTTTTACTGAGCCCGAGTGTAAGAAGGTTTTGCAATTCTTTTTATAATTTCTAAGAATTCTACTATTGTCTAAAATATTTAAATATAATATATGTATGTAAATACCTTTATTAAAATATCCAATGTTAAAAATTGTGACTACATTTTATATTATAAATATTTAAATAAATTAATGTAATTACATCAATGTATGTAACTATGTACAATTACCTACTAAACAAACAATATATGTGATAATTAAATAAATTAGTGTAATTAGTTAAATGCATTTTTCTACTCCCACCTTTAAAACGCCCTTTATCGTACATGTTTCCATGACACTAAGCGACCTTTTAAATACACATTGACAAGTTGTGGCTTTATGGCGCTTTAGTCACGGGCTGAAGTTAGCAACAGGTTTTTAGTCACGGCCTGTGTTAGTTTTAAGTTAGTTGACAGTTGTCAAATGTCATACAATTGTTAAAATAAAGTCCCTTTCTTGTAAAATAATACTAAATGTGAAAATTATTTCATTATCTCAATACAAAAATACAAGTATTAAATAGTTTCTCGAGAACGATCAACGCCAATATTTAAAAAGTTTATGTTTGTACTGACCTTTTAATTTCTCCGGCAGTAAACTAGGTATAACTTAAATTCGGGCACGGGTTCCACTGTAAAGTGCTCATAAAACATTTTCTTTACTTTTACTGTGAAAAACTGTCAATTTTCAAGAAATACATTTCGATTTATAACCTTTATAATCTGTGTTTATAAAATATAAAAAATTTACATTTGACGGTGACACACAGATTCCCCTATTGTTTCATAGATGGCGCTCTATACAAATTTTTGATTCAAATCATTTTAAGATAATTATAAGTATTTGTCGTAGAAAAAAAATAGTATGCACCTCGTTTATAAACTTTTCTATACACTCATTAATTTAAGCACTCGCTTGCAAGCTCGCTCGTGTCTAAATTAAATTCGTGTATAAAATGGCGTTTATTAAACTTGATACATAATATACTATTATTTGCTACTAATATATAGTACCTACTATATTAATTGTGTGACCATGGTCGCTTGAGGAATGTTCTCTTTCTCCCACTGCAGTGGGAGAAAGAGAAGATTCCTCAAGCGTAGCGAGTCACAGTGGACTGGAAAAAAGTGGCCAAAATCCATTAAAAAAAAATAATGAAGATATCATTATGCAATTGTCACCATATTTTTGTGGTATTAATCTTGATCATCTACAAATTTTAATTCAATTGGCTTAATGACAGCGATTTTAAAGGTTTAAGTGATTAAAATATGTTATATCGTTAGGGTACGGTATATAAGGCTTAACTTTTCGACCATCAACCCCTTGGAGATTTTCCGCCATCTTGGATTTAGGGGTGAATTCGCGAATAACAGCCGTATTTTTGGTTTTATCGAAAAACAAAAACTTATACCATTTTTGATAAAAAAAAATTGTATACATCATACTTTTGAAAATTAAGCAAATTTAACGAGTAAAGAAATGTCAACCCTTTTTTTTAATAATCGGCTCTTACCCATTAAATATGCAAAATATTCAAACATATTAAGTAGGTATAAAAAATGTTAGAACTATTTTTTTTGTCAAAATTGTATAGTCTACTTCTCCGATAAAAATATGGCAGAAAAACTTATAGCTTATTTTATTCCATTCTAGGCTATGTGGGAATCGACTTAAGTAAATTTACTTTAACCTTAAACCTACGCAAAAAAAAATAAAAATGGTATTTTTTGATAAAAAATCGATATTTATCTTTTGACAAAACTTTTTTAAATGTATAAAAAAATAAAGAAGGTAATAATAAACAGCATACAAATTTAATTTAAAATCATTTTGTTTTCTTAAATTGGTAAACATTTGTAAAAGATATAAATATATTTAACAATGGTTTAGTAATAAGCTTATAAGCTTATTACTAAACCATTGTTAACCTTAACCGGCCTACTTTAACGCTGTGTATATACGAAACGCGTTGTTTAATTTGATGAACATTGTATTACAGGACCTCCCTCGTATATATTTACAATTTAAATTTGGTCAAAATCGCTAATGTCGAGGCAAGTCCTCGTTCCTAGATTCCTGAGCTTCCCCCTATAATTGGCCGACTGAAAAAAAATGGCTTATTATATTTGACACATAAATTAATATTGTATGTACTGAAGCAGGTATAAAGTAGCAACTATATAAAGACACGTGAAATTCAGAAGTCTCCAATGCATAATTAATAAATTTTTCAACATCTATTTCTTTTCCAGATGCAAATGCTTGCAAAATAACCCCGAACCTTTTAATTAGATTTACATAGATGTAGATGTAGATCTACTCTTGTAATATTCCAGGATGTGTTCGTAGTAGATCTACTCGAGATGGGATTTTAGGTTGCAAAATTTATAAAAATAGGTGCCTAACTAGGAACACTTTTTTCTTGTTTTAGGTGAGAAAATTATATGGTACGTTCTTTACGAAAATACGTACTGGATATTAGGTGGTAAAATTATTTAATTTATTGTTGTATAACATTTTTGATTTTTATGATTTGAAAATAACTGACAAATATATATTGTAAAAATATCATACTATTATAAATTTAATATTTTTTTTTTCCTAAAACAAAATATAACATTTTATAAAGAACCTATTCCTGCACCAAATCCCAAAAGGATGCCAATGTTTTATACATTTGGGATTTGAGAAAGCGAGTAAAAGGGCCTACCGCCATACCTGAGCGAGACGTTTCGAAATATCAAATTTTACGCTGTGTTAAAAGTGCTGTAGATTTTGTTTACAGTGCGCAATTTCTTCGACGATACATGGAGCGAGTTGCTGAAGGTACGTATGATAAAATTTTAATACGAGGTTTATGTTATTCATACATGATGTTATAATAGTGACTTCAAAGTGATCTTGTCAGAAAGTTTTAGACAACAAAAAGTAAATGAAAAACAAGTTTTTAAAAACTGCGTCGCGCCGCACAGTGGACTGGAATGGCAAAAAAGTGGCTAAAATTCATTAAAAAAACTAATTAAGGTATCATAATTAAATTAACAATGCCAATATTTTATTGGATTTATTTAGCCAATGTTGGCCCAATATTGGCATAAAATGATAATTTAATATATCATTGCCAATGTTTATCCATGTTGGTCCTATATTGGCATTTTATTTTACGCCAACATATCATTAACTATGATACTTTAGGATTTCTAAAAGTGATATATAACGACACACGTTTGTTTCCAGGATATCAGTAGCGGCTCGTCGTATAAAACAACTGAGGCCGGGCCTCACAGGTTAAAATTAAAATATAATTTGAAATGTTCGATACATTACTTATTTAAATATAAAACGTTTTTAAACTAATTTCCAGAAATTAAAAGTATCAAAACATCGAATAACCATCAAAGTTTAAAATATTTCCTTTAAATTTAGAGCGCACCCCTTCCAACTTTAATTCTAAACGCTTAAATTATTGCCCGACCGCATAATAGGGAAATAGTAATCCCAAAAATTTGCGCTTCATACACACGTCACACATTGCCGATACAACATCATGCTCCCCACCGCTGCACGGTTCCGCCGGCACCCCCGCAAGGCGGGGATAATACGCGAATTTTTGTAGTCATTGTACCACAGTATATGGAAGACAGCAGAGTCAGTCCCGAGATCTGTGCGGCTCGCTTATCAGCCGTTGTAAAAGACTGGGCGGGGCGTGGTAAACAAAGCTTATTAATTAGATCTATGCGTGCACGCATGTTTATAGTTTATAGTTTCTTATTTCCTATTTCTTATTTAGTCTTTGCCTTAGCGTTAAAATGGAAAGTGGTGATAAAAATGCAAGCGTAAAATACATTATTGCCTTGTGAATTCATGTAAAAATAATTCAAATATTTATAAAAGATCATTTTTATTTTAATATACTATTATATTAAAACACACAAATACCACAGTAAAACTCACAAAAAATATAAATAAAAATATTATTGCTTTTTTATAGTTCAGTGTT